TAGGCCAGTCCAGGCCGGTACCTCTGTCGGTACCAGCCAGTCCAGTCCAGTCCCGTCAGTCCGCTGGGGTATACCCCAGCCATTGTCTGTTTTCTGTCTCATTCCTCACTTGCACATTTTGGAGTACGTGCGTTGGAGTCTTGCGTGGGGAGCTGCGTTGTGCCATCTTGCTCCCCCTTCTTCCTCCATTTCCATCTCTGTCACTAGCGGAGCACCACACCTAGTGGGTCTGCTACACCATGAATCTTGACAGTTTGAGAGATTCTACTCGTTTTTTACTCATTTTTTGTCTTTTGAGTTTCTCTAACAGAAAGTTAGTTTGCAAAGTCTCACGTCGATAAGACAATATCACTCTATTATCAAGTCGGTCCTCATGTTGTTCGTCGATTGCGTGAGCTCTGCCAGAGTTCAAACAAAACTCTAGAGGTAGGAACTGTCCATGGGATGTTGTAAAGAGACGCTCCTCTAGAAGGCAGGCGAGCGTCTCTTTACAACATCCCATACACCTTTAGACATACTACCCTCTATTGTTTTATGTGCATAATTTTGTTAAGCTAAATGCTTTCTTGCCTTTTTGATGGACTATGTCATAAATAAGATTGACTTTATATATATAATATATATATGTGTATAGGTAGCAAATCCGTATATCCGCCAGACCAAAATTATCCGGATTTTTCATTCCGGATGAAATTTTCGGATTCATTCCGGGTATGAAAAATCCGGCCATGCGCAAAATATTTTTTTTAATCAAAAACAAAATCAAAAAAATCTAGAAACCAAGTTTGTTCTTCATATTAACGATGCAAATTTTTTTTTGGCTAAATGCCATCGTTGATATCACAACAGATATAAAGATAAAAAAGAAAACAGAAAAAGAAAACAATATTTATATAAAAATTAATAAAATAAATTAAGCATCCCCCCTCTAAACTCTTTTATTCCCTATCTTACCACCTTTAAACCCTTTCATGCCCTATCAAGTTTTTCATGAAATAGGAATGTCGTTCTATTGTATTTGGCATGTGCAATATGATTTTTTTTTATTTTTTTTTTTTAGCTATTTTTTTATTATCCGGATTTCTGGATAACCCTACCACCTGATCATCCGGCCAGATAATCCGACCAGATTATCCGGCCAGATAACCCATGCTACCTATATATATATACATGTTACCTATATATATATATATACATGTTACCTATATATATATATGTGTGAAAAAATATTTGTCTGTAAAGGACGGGGATAATTTATGTAGATTTTGGTTGACCCTTATGATTTTTTTTTTAAGTAGTTGGGTTGGACTTGAGAGAAGGTCGTTTGACTATATATTTATTCTCTGATGGCTTATTTTTTGAAAAGATGGGTTTTACTTCACAGTAGGTAGTCTATATGTATGTTTATCTTCTCATTTACTATTTTCTTAACCGTTAGGCTTAACTTCAAAGTACGTAGTCCAGTTATGTGTTTATTTATTGATTTTTTTTTTATGATAGGGATTGTGCTTGACTTCAGAACATGTTGCCCATGTAGATGTTTATTTTGATTAATTTCTTGAATGCAAAAGTATATTTTAAAGAAGGTTACCCAATTGCATGTTTATTCAATTCGTTGTTTTTTGAAGGCTTGGAATGAAATTTAAAGTGAGTCATCCAGTTCCATGTTTATTTTATTATCATTGTTTTTTTAAACGATGGGCTTAACTTTAGAGTCAGTAGCTAAATTGTATGTTTATTTGATTGACCTGTTTCTTAAAAGTTTCACTAAACTTTAGAGAAGATCGCCTAACTATTTGTTTCTTTGATGATCTTGAAGGGTCGGGCTTGAATTTTTATTCCGTTTCTCCAAGGAGTTAAACTTAACTTTAAAGTAAGTCGTCCAGCTGCATGTTACTTTCCTTGACGTATTTCCTAAAAACTGGGCTTAAAGCCAAAGCAGGTCATATAGTTGCATACTTATTTATTTGATTAACTTCTTTCAAAAAGACAAGACTTAATTCTAAAATACGTAAATCAGTTACATATTTGTTCATAATACAGGATTTGTAAAACTATACATTTTTAAATAGAATGAATATTTACAAGTCAAACTTTTATTTTGCAAATAAAAAAATATATATTTTTAATTGTTAGTAAAAAGAAAGTCAAAAGTTCGAACAAATATCGCATATTAAGGACAAAAAGTCTGACAATGGCAACAGTGGTTTATGAAACTATAAACCAATCTTCAAATTTATGAGTAAAACTCATTTTAGTGGAGTCTTCAAGTATAATTTTGTTATTGCAGGAGGTCAAAACATCGTATTCTCATAACCTCTAATAAATTATGTACAAACCAGACTTTTTCTTTTTACGAATCCTGTGTTTTATTCGATTAACTCCTTTTTAAATGATTGAATCAGACTCTAGAGAAAATCCTTTGAGTGCATATTTATTTTATGATTGTTTATTTTATGAAATATTGGGCGTGTAAGTTACGGTTAAATTAAAAGTTGACTTCAAATTTTTTACCTATTATAAATTTTAGAACTTCACTTTCTTAGTGAAAGTGCTACAAAAGTTTCCATTAGTTCAAAAACTTAGTTAACTTTAATATTTTACTTAAACCACTAGTACCTTTGTCGCTTCGTTTCGACAAGTTTTTGTTTATTTTTGAACTTTTATTAGGTAAGACCCGATAACAATTGTCGTTGATACATCTGATCGGCGACCATCGTTTCATTTCGGCCTCCTAAAAGGTCGAAGGCCCACTATTTTTCAAGTCGACAAATGTACTAGTGGTTTAAGTCATAAGACATGTTTCACAAACTTCATGTTAAAAGCAATTACAACATACTACTTTCCCTGAGAAAGTAATGCTGTCATTTTATCATATTTGGGTATATTTTAAAAGTTTTGGTCATTAAATATCAGCCAGGGTCATATTAGTGGTGAAAACATTGGGATTGTATTGACTTGTGCGTCTGAATACATGTCATTTTACTCGGAGATTGTTAAAGGATTCTCAAAGAGTCTATCTGGAAACACATTATCTGTTATTTTTTCATATTATATTGGTTTACTGATTCAATCATCATCTACCCCGATATCCATACTTATATGGAGCTCCGAGGCAAAAATACATTTTTCGTAAACCTTTACATTAATAGTCTTTGATTGGTCTTAAGGTGTTTGAATAATTAGGAAGGGGGTTGGCTAAAGGACCGTGGAGCAATAATGTTCACGTGAGAGAGGTTTTTGAGTTATCAGAGATAACGAAAGATGAGATCAAAGGTTGACTTCTTTTATTGCACAACATGTGCCTGATTGTGCTTGCATATATGTGTTGAGAGCACTCAATTGTCGATCAGAATTGATTAAATACATCAAAGGTTTTTTACCAAGACGCAGTTTTGATGGTGAAAGTGATCAACTACTTACATTATACCTTCATCTATACTCACTAGCTTCTTACTTAACGCCTATATATAGAATGACTTCGTATGTGTGTCAAACACTCGACTCGGCTTGACCGAATTAACACGCAACCCAGCCTAAAGGAATGCCCCTTCGAACTAAGCTTAGTATAATTATAAAGACGGGTTAAACTTGAACACTTATATGATTTTTCCTTATTGGGAGAAGTAGTTGCATGGTTGAAGTCGTGATCGGTGGATTTGCATTTCATTAAACCATAACTTCCCCGCACACTCAAAAAGTGATATTCCGGGATCTTCAGAGGACGGTAGACCCAAAGGAAATAGAGGTCAGCGACAATTTAGAAAACAACCCTAATGTTAGCAGTTTTTTGCACTAAGAAAATGTTTAAAAGAATATGGAAATTGAATATCATGTGGAATAGGTCTTGATCTCTTCACGAAAATAAAAATAGAAATAAAAAAACATAAATTAAATCATTGTGTCGATTTAACAGGTTTTTAATCTCCACGTTGTTACGTGTGGAGAAGTGTGATTTTCGCTTGGGAAAAATATTACAAATCAAGGTTGTCGGTGTTCGGGACAGGCCGAACGTATGAACCCGAATGCCCGAACGTTCAGCACCCCCTCTCGATGCGTTCGGTCGTTCGGCC